TTTTCAAAGCCTATAATTTTGTCTGATTTTTCACTTTTGAAATGAAATTTGACACATTCAGTGCTCATCAAAAAAAARCCCTGTTTTCTCTGAAGCATGAGTAGAACTAAACCAGTCGTTTTCTGTGAAAAGATTACCAGAAATTCATACATCTTCACGCTTGCTTCCCAGATATTTGCTTTGTAACGGTACCACACTCCTCCAATTCCCCTTTTTTTTTAAATTTTGAATGAGATTTCAGGGAAGAGTCTTTCTTCTTCTGTATTTCTTATATTTTGGTGTGAGCTGTCATTTTTAGAGTGAACATCTGAAAATGTCATTAACAATAAGATGTTTATTTTAAAGGATGCAGTAAGTCTAMATTTCAAATGCCTTAGATTTTTTCCTGCTCTGCTTGCCTTTACAAATACTCTTTAAAAAACATGTGCTTAAAAATATACTGTATACAGGAGTGGAAGAAACTATTTGCTGTGATGTTTGTCCTTTATCAGGACTGGGTCAGAGAGAGAAGGGAAGGGAGGAGAAGGAGGAAAAGTCTTGACAAGAATATATATTAGAGCAATCAATAAATAGACAACCCTTGGAATTCATGACTCTTTAAAATAAGACGCATTTTCTTGTAGTAATCCTGAAAACCTATAAAAGAATATTCACATAATAAAACCCTATAACTCATATTTAACCTTTCATCACGCAGAACTACCTATTAAATAGCTTAGCAGCTGCATGCTGTGTAAATGCATTGAAGTAAGAGCAAAAAGAGAAAAATGTAAATGCCAGCCCTCTCTTAACACGTGCCGCACAGCCCCGAACATCTGCCAGCTGGCCCCATAGGCTGAGCGGCTGCTCGGGGGCAATGCCACCCCTGCATAAGCCCTACTCAGCTGCCACCTACAGCACCCATTGCCTTTAACAGAGGTGCCCAAAGAAACGGAGGTAGTGCTAACTCTTGAACAATTTTCATGCAGAGGGGCAAGACAAAAGCATTGCAACATGTTGCATGGAATCGAGGTTAAAATACTGGTACTTCCCTCTCAATGTAATGTAATTTGCCATGGAGAAATAATATAAAGGAAGGTAAAGGCTAATACAGCTGTATCAAAACAAATGATTGTGTCAGAATACCATATGCAAACCACCTACGCAAGCTGTTCCTACAGTTAAGCTGGTATGGAAAAGCTGGCAGGGCTCGACGTATTCCAGCRTATTCCAGCGACACTGGGGAGAGGAACAACTGCATCAATTCACCCCCTGCATCCAGCCTGTGGGAGCCCAGAAGGCAGGAGGCATTTGGGAATGGGAAAGGGGGCTTCCATACACGACAGTCCATATGGAAAGGGATCCCTCTATTCAGCCCACTCATCTCGGGCACTTCCTCCATGGAGTGCAGCAAAAGGACAGGTTATTATCACAGGATAGAATTAAATTTATGCTAAAAACTTCTGTCCTGAATACACAAGCAAACTGCATGGCACTGATTAATTCTAGGAAGAGAGTCTTTTATGATACAGTTTGTGTGATTCAAATTATTTATACTGGTCAAATAAATGGTTTTGCTTGTGTAAATTGCCTCTCTCTCCGAAGCAGCAACTGTATTAAAGTACCTATATTGGCAAGGCCCTGGAAATGAAGGGAAGCAGTAAGAGAGAATTGCTGCAAAATGTTTTAAGTTCCACCTTCTGTACCTAAATTTATGTCAAATCTCTGAAAAGTTTTCCACAAAAAAAAAAAAAAAAAGAACTTAGCAAATACCTTTCAAAAAAGAGTTAAAAGATGATTTGACTTGATGAGAAAAAGACACAAAGTGATGAAGAGTCTAATTATAATGAGTGGAAGAATGGACAGTTCTTCAAAGTAATTAAGATACAAGACTCAAGTAAACAAGATTGAGTTAGATAATATTAGAGAAATAATATGGAGATAATAAGCTAAATCTACTGGATCCTAGAAGATTATTTTTGGTTCTAAGTTATTTTATGTTTTTATCAACTACATAAAACACAATATAACACACACAAAAAAAGGGCAAAAGAATAATCTTTTCACAAGTGCTAAGAAGTGTTAAGTGCCAAGACGCCCAACTGCTAAGAAGCATATGGAGAGCCAAAGAAGAGAAAGAAATACTTATAGATTTATATAGTGAGAGTAACTAGAAACAATGTATTCCGGTGACCAGATCTAGGGCCAATTACCTTGAATAGGACAAATCCCAAGGTTTCCCTTCTATGTGGGCAAAATAGGGTGGGGAGCAGGAGGGAGGCAGGGAAAGGGACCTGTTTGATGACCTGCTCCTGTTCCCCTRGGTTACTGTGTGAAGTCCAATGCGAGATTACAGAAAATTGGCAAAATGTTTTCTTCTTGTCCTAAAAGCCCCAAAGCTCTGAAGTATCCAGGATTCAGTCCAGTCCTACGAATCTAAAATGGAAAGAGGTAATCCATTCTGTCATAAAAGAACTATAAATAGTTTCCATCCTTAAAAAAAAGAAAACCTCTCCCAAACTAGACCTTGCTGCAGTTCTAAAGTGTCACTCCTAAAGCCCACAATACGAAGCCCTGTAATGAATGCAGTAGGTTTTAGATCAAGCCTTGTGTTCCTGGAAAAGAGGCGGAAAGCACCAAGCACATTTATATTAATAAAAGCCACAGCATTTTGCAAGGACCGCGCACCGATAAACCTTACAAAGAAGTAATTTCCCCCGTTAAACAATTKCTTTCCTTTAGCATCTTGTGAAAGGGTTTGGAAATTAGCAAATATAATATGTGTGGGAATAGGCAGCACTGTGTAGCAATAAGTTTACTTTTAATAGAAGTAGTCTGCTGTGTCTATGAGTAACAAACCCCAGTATCTTTTCATTACAAAAGGGCTTATTGTTGCCATATGACTTACTGTGGGATTTCATTTCGCTCCTTCGGTGATCTGCCTGATCTATTAGGAAAAGCGCTGAGCTATGGCCAACATACACTCCACTGCAGTTTCACATTTTCCTGGTCCCTGCTGCTTTTAAGTCGGGTTGCCGTCTATGAATTTCGAATAGTAATAAGCAATAAAAGGAACTTAACAGCTTCCTCAAAGGAAAAAAAAGAAACGGTGAGGGAAATTAAGCAACTTCAGAATCGGGTGTTGGAAGTGGTCCTGCATCCCTGGACGCGGCAGTTGCGGAGCAGTTGCATAGTAGATAACGGGGCTGCCAGCTCAAACACCTGCAAGCCATTACTCCAAACTGTGCATAACAACCAGTAAAGTCCTTTTATATATACTCTACAGCAGAGTTTCATACATATATTCAACATAAATAAATACATATATATATATAAACATAAATACATATATATGAAGTTCCTGTGCATGACATTTGCTGTCCTGTCATCAGCTAATTTTGATATAAACAGCACAGGCAAAACAAAGCAGTACTTCATCTATGTTAATTAGTGCATAGAATTAAGCAGTAAAAACAGAAAATCACTATTAGTTTTGTAGAAATACATATAGGATTGTCTAAGTATGTGTTGACTTTTTCTTTAGAGTAACAATTTAAAGATTATTTTACTCTGATGAGACACTTCAGTGTTGAATATACAGCGATTAATGTTGGAGGGAATATGTGCCTGGTGCTATTTTAGTCAATGTATATTTAATGAGTGTTCTTGCAGCAACCACGGTCTCAGGCAGAGATAAAGATTTTTTAAAATATCCCAAGACATTTGAGTTTTCAGATGTTTATACTCCATTGAGGGGGGATTATTTGTCAGTGCCCTAGGAAAGCAAAAAAAATCTATCATATCTAAGAAACAGAGTGTTTCAGGTCAAATTTTGCTGTTACACAAGCATTTTCCTCTCAATGCTCCAGAAGTTCTAGGACTGCCTACAAAACTCTTTGCTACAAAGGGAGGTCCCAGAGGTCACCTGTATTGAAGACTAAAGCAGGCAATTAAATCCCACAAACSCAGCTTGCCCAAAAAAATATGTTCTAATGTCAGTCTCCAAAGCTCAAATTTTGACCATATAAACAATGGATAAGTTAAGAAACATCATGGTCCAAACAGGACACTTAAGTAATACTGGGATGATAAATGCTCTGAAATTGATGCCCTTTTATCCCAGTTTCRTATAATCCATGGGACACTAATATGTAGTCAGCTTGGATTTGAGATTTTATACTGCAATAATAAAAATAGCAAGCATGGCTCATAGAAGGACTGATTTAAGTAACAGGCAAAGCATGGGCTGTGGGCACTAGACTGAAGGGATACGGCACTCGGAGGAGCAATCAATGCGCTCTGCTTCCACTTCATCCAGGTTTCATCCAGGCACACGTTTCTGGTGCCATTTATGAGCACTTTGCATGGGCCACACCACTGACTGAACCTGCCAGGGCCTGACCATGATACCAGCAGAGGCACCCAACAATTTGCTAGCAGTACTGAATGATTTTGGTATGATTTTTTTCTGGAACAAACGAAAAGCGGTGTCCTTGTTATATTCTGCTTATATATTACGTAGAAAATGTTCATTCTTTGTACAACATGCTATATATTCTGGGGGGGAAAAAGTGCTCTACTCCTTATATTCTGTTATGGGAATTTCTATCTGAAATAGGTTAATTTCATGTGCACGTGCATTTGTAATAATGCACACTGAAAAACTGTCTGGCAGTCATGCAATCGTTCCTCTGAACAGCTATCAAGACTTCAAAAGATTTCAAACAGTAATATAGAACTCTATCTTTTAAAATACTCACAAAAATCTAAAGGACACCAGGTCTTTAAAGACATAATGAAAACATTTAAATCAGATCATTCTAAGGTATGTGAATGGACATGAAAATGTTGAAATAATAACCATAACTTTCTCTTGGAAGAATATCAACATTAAATTGGACGAGCTACTTTCACAATTATTATTGTATTTTTCATAACTTCCCCAGCACAGGGCCTTGTGGCCACACCTGGAGGTACAACAGGCACTGTGGGGTCTCTCCTGCCTACCTAGGGCCGCTCACCTGGTTCTTGAGGTCCAGCTTTGGGCAGGGACGGCCTCCGTTGTAGGGCTTCTCCTTGAGCCACCGCGAGCGGGTGCTCACTCCCAACCCGCAGGACGAGCTGCAAGGCGCCCAGCTGGACCAGTCRCTCAGCTTGCAGTCAAACGGGCACGGCACCGTGCAGGATTCTTCAATGTAGCCTAGGGCAAAAAAAGAAGAAAGATGCTTCAATCAAAGTCTTCTTCCTTCTCTTCTTCCTCGTCTATCCTCTAATGTCTCAGTGCAAAGGGTATAATCAACATACAAGGAGGACTTTTTCAAGGAGAAAAGATCTYGTGGTCATGCAGTGCTTTCCTGACACCAGATTACTATATAACTTGTAAAGAATAGCAGCGACTGAAACTAATTTCCTATTGGTTTAGGTCAATGATCTTTTCAAAGGACATCATAAAAACCGAGGCAAAGGACACACTAACAAAAAGCAAGTGCTGTGAAACTGGTCACAGCCATTAGGTGGTAAATACTGTCCCTACAAGAATCTGCCCAGAACAAATCCTGGTGGCAGGTCACACTGACAGCTCCAGCAGGGAACGGAGGAGCCTGGGCCTGGCAAGGACCTTCCCGTCCCACAGGAGCCTGAGCAGCTCCAAGCACTGGGCTGCTCTGAGCTGCTCCCGCGCGGGAGCTCTCCTTGGAAAAGCCAGTGAGGCTCTCTGGCCTCTCTACTCCCATGCTTCTCGTTATGGAGCTTCACAACCGTTTTGCCTATCACGGGTTTCAAAAATTACTGTCTAAAACCTTCCCTTGGAATCCGAGTAGCAGAGATCTGCAGGAGCCAATATCCTACTGGATTAATAGCCTTAATAAAACCCTACAGAGAGGCCAGGGTTAAAAGAATTCCTCCATATTGGCATGYCCCCCCCAGCAGGATTGGGAACTGGTGGGTGGAAGAGGCATCTTCCACAGCCCAATATTTCCCATTCCCGCTTGCCACATGCAGAAGGGGAAAGGAGAGGGTGCCCAAAACACACAGGGGATCTCTGATACGGTCAACAACGTGCAATAGTTCCTGTGCCCTCCTACTTACTATGCTACGCTCATTCTCCTTGAGTTTCTATTACCTGGTTGTCATGTCTGTACGTACTACTTTGATTTAAAAAAAAAGAGAGACTTCATGTTAGACCATGAAAGTCACTGGCTGCTAAGTTCTGCCTTCATTACAAAAGGCTTAGGCCCTCTGACAGCTCTGATAATYATGATCATGGAAATAACTGGATTTCATCCCTACCAAATTTTTGATATTTCTCATTTTTATGACCTCTCCTTCTAGTTGGTTTTCATCCCACTTACACTCCCTATTCATTCCTTACCTACAGAATACCAAACCAGCTAATGTTGTTAGGCTTTTCAGAAGGATTCCCCCACACTCTGTTGAGGTGACACTCACAGCAGCCACGAAAGCCAGAAGCAGCTTCCTTCCCAAACGCACTGACAACGGCCCCGAGCCGCTGGGAAAGACCAAAGCTGAGATGTTATTCCGGCCAGGAGCTGATCTTTCCAAGCCTGCAGCATCCTACCCTGCAGCTGCTCCCGCCTGACGAGCACCGCGCCGTGCGGCAGCGCTGCCTCCCTCGGCCTGCACCATGGAGGCGTTTTCAGGGAAGCTTTCGGACTTACTTGGGCACTCTCCCCCGGGAAACTATCCCCCTCCTGCAAATGTAACAAGTAATGAAGTTGGGTTTGTGAGCAGTGGCTTGAAAAAAGTGCTCGAAACAACAGCAATTCCTCCTTCGGGTACACGACGCTCTTTTTCTCCTCTGCTTGGTGCCAGGATGTGGTTCCTTTTTCTTTTACAGCAGCCACCCAGGAGCCTGGCAGCTACAATAACTTTTCCACAGTAACGCGTGCTGTAGCTCTTCCCTAAAGTTATATAACTAACCCCATACGCTCTGCTCTGTTTTCCTTTGCTACCTCGTATTTCTCTGCGTTGAGCTGCCTTTTCATCCGCAGCTCTAAAGCCACTGGAATTAGATCTCCTAGTTATTTCCTACCCAGTGCTCTACAGTGGTGTTTACACTTCTGGAGATATTTTACCTTTGCATCTTTTGTATTCTTATCGAAACAAGATTACACACATGTGCACCCATATACACATATTTCAAAATATTTTGCAAAATGAAACCTTCAATATCCCACCAAAATTCTGTTGCAGCTGCTTAAGTTGCCACTCAAAGCAATCTGCAATACATTATGATAAGTAAAAGAAGTTTTCTCATGATAGATTTATGAGCAGCATTTCTCAGGCAGTTCTCCAAAGAGTTCTGTTCCACCACCATATGAAATACCATTTTTCCCTGGGCTGTGTGACAGCCTAGGTAATTAACTCTCAGCAGAAAGAAAGCAAGCGCCTCGTTACAAAGCAGAATTAGACAGAGGGGTTATCAACTCATCAGCAAAGGTAGAACAGGACAAGCCTTTTGGCAGCGCAAGACCTACATCTATAATAAAAAAAAAAAATACAAGGAAGAAAGGAAAGAAAGAGGAAGGGACAGTTATAATAAACAAAACTGCAGAGAGTTGTTCTACCTCATCCCAGGAAAGTGCTGTGGGGATCCCCCAGCAAACTGCAGAATTTCTGCAGACTTCCTGGTGCTAAGAGGCCAGCTTACTCTCATTTGAGTTTCCTCACCCACATTTATAAATTATATTATTTATAAATAAATAATGGCTGGCTAGTAGAGCAACAAATTACATTACTATCCAAAAGAAACAAATTCCCCATGCTGAACAATGCTACAGAATTAAAATGGGAAGTGAACCTCCTTGCAAGCTCTTCTTGCAAGCTGCCGTTATTTGCTCCATTAACCTCTTGAGGTTAATCCTCTGCCAAGAACCCCACGATCAAAGATTTTATTCAATAAAAAATTTCCTGCRAAAATCTTTATGTGACCAATCATCTCTGCTCAGATGTATAATGTCTTTATGGATATTAGGCAAATCTAGTAAATAACGTTGTACTCGGCTGCTTCTCAATCCTTGCTCTGCCTGTGAGAACAGGATTTTTTCTGTTTTTCTCTGTAGGAGCCAAGCAATATTTGTCAGTGGGTGGAAAGAGCCCAGTTTGGATATYCACAATAATCCTAGTACTGGCATTCCTACAAAACTCGTAATGTTTGATAGGCAATGGTGCATAATAAAGAAAAATGAATAACAAGGTAAATAYGCTATTAAATCCAGATATTAATTAAGTTAAGCCTTACACTCAGGCTATTACCAGAAGCAACAACAATAAAACACAATAACTAGTGGAAACCAGAGAAATACCATTGACCACAACAAGAACAGCAACAAATGGAATAAAAAACCACCAGAATGCACTGCTTATCTCCACTCATCTTGGCAGTCCTAACTCAAGCCTGTGTTTATTCATCTGCTTTTGTCCRTGTCCTCCTTAGGCAGCTCACTCATCCATCCCATCCTTCTTTCCTCTCCTTTGCAGAATCTGGTACCAACATTTTTGGTGAGATGTCACCACAGAGAAATCCCTCCTCCTTTCCCCAAGCCTGCTCAGCCTGTTTCCTATGTGATGTTAATTCTCAAAGCCTCCTTTAACATCTCTTTTTTTATTCCTTAAAATCTCAAATATCGCTAAACCAAAGCTCATCTATTTCAGCAACAATAGATGGGAAAATCTCTGTACTACTCGAATCAACAGCAAGTTCTGCAAGGTCACCGAGCTAGAGCASTGAATGCAGATGTCACAGGAACACCAAGGCACGGAATATTTAGGTTGGCACTTTCAATCATACTATAGGGAATAGCCCCGAGCTGGCAGTGAAGAACTGAACTGGATGATCAAGTAAGATTTTTGTAAGGATAAGTCTCTTATGACCGAGACATTGCCAAAAGACGGGATGAACAAAGGCACTCACCTAGGCTGCCCTGCAGATTTCCCTATCATTTATTCATGAAGCACAACCTGCCTGTTGTTCCGCGAGCCACCAATGCAGCCGCTTCCCCGCGGCGACTACTGAACACGGCAGCCACCGAACGCACCGCGCGGATGGGGAAGGCTCCCATACATGAGGCAGCAGCTATTATTCTCATCCTACTTTTCCATGCAGCATCGAGAGGCAGCTTTAGGGAGCAGTGTGAGGATGATGGTTTAGTGGGTATCCGAGGCAGAGGGCTCAGGGGCAGGTAGCACAACCCATGGACCAAGGACGGACTGCAGGGCAGGTGGGGAGTTTCTTTGCTGCCTGCAGCAGGGGCAGGACGTAGACGCCTGGCAAAGCCCACTGGGGTCTCCAAGGTCCTTCCGAAGGCCCAAGGGATCRTGGTGGGAGAAGCAGGCAGTTAACAGGCTTCCAACTTAGCGCGAGGCGTTGACCCCCACCCGCTGGCTGCGCTTCCAAACGGCAAATCCGAGYGGTGCGCGGTGCGCACGGCCCTGCGAGAGCAGGGCAGGCGGCTGCCTTACAAGCAATTTGAAAATGGAAACAGATGCACTTCTAATTGAATTGGCTTTAAGCTCATTTGTAGCCACTCTAGTGAGTTTCATCATTTCAATTAACCCATGTCTAGCAGCYCTACCCTGCTTTGTAAACCTTGAGGTGCTTCATAAAATTCAAGGTCATGGCTACGAACGGGACAATCTGACGTGTCACTCCAACTGACACTGGTAATAACACAACTAATTCCCCTCGGAGGCCAGAGGATAAAAGAGATCCCCCTTTAACAAATCGAGAAGGGAGCACCAGAACCAAYGCTGCTGCCCAAGAGCCATTTCTTAATTACACAGCTCAAATGTAGGAGGGGAAAAAAGATTGATTCTTTTTGCAATTACTAATCACATTCATTTGGTAGCTAAGTGTGAAGTACACAGAGCAGCCCTGGTAAATCTGTGCAGTCCTGGAAGTCTAACAGCTCTGACCCCATTGCTGAGTCCAAGAGTCTGAAGGTTGCCAGCAACATCAACTGCATCTGAAAACAGTCCAACATTGCCACGGAACAAATGCTTACCCCCCTTCTTTTTCTTTCCTCTAATATGCAGTGATTTGAGCTGTTTTATGCATTATTAGCTTGCCAGCTGGGGAACCGAAGAGATAATATAATGAATATAATTAACAAACACCAACCAAATAAAAAAAATAACAAAACACCTTCTATATCAAATATTTTGCAAAGCTCCAGTAATACA